AGTGAACCGATAGAGTTGGAATCCCGAATCTTGGTTTTGAGATCACTGTGGGGGTGTAGGGTTGGGGTATGTAGGAAGTTTTAGAAATTTGTACTAAGTGTACTAAATTTGGAACAATTTAAATTGTGGGTGAAGCGATAGAGTTGGAGTCCTGAAATTTTGATTTAGGATCACTGTGGAGGTGTAGGATTGGGGTATGTAGGATGTTTTGGAAATTGGTACTACTGTGAACTAAATTTGGTAAAATGTGGATTTGGGTGAACCTTTAGAGCTCGAATCATGAACTTTGGTAGTAAATGGTACTCAAATTCAATGCATGGTCGATATTAATGCGGGGATTGTTAAGTTTTTCTGACATATGCAGTTTTCTGTGAAAATAAAATAATATGTTAATACATGATTAAATATTACCCACATCGGTTACGAAGTAGCGGGCATATGCTAGTATATTTATATTTAAATATATAAGTACATAAAAATCACATATCAAACATGGCAATAATTTTACAAGTTTTGCCATAAAGCAGTTGTCATCTTCGTGCTAGACACTTATCGTACAGCATCATCTGAAAAGAATACAATAATAAGATATTATTTAACATGCTTTGGAATGTCCGATTTGGGCCAAATATGCACTGTTTTGTTATAAGCGGGCATAAATCTATAATTGTTTGATGTCTCGTACCATCGCTCGTTACCGCGATATTGGTAGCATAACCCGACGTCAAGGAAGTGAACGGAAGAAGACCGCAACATCAGCAGAAATGGTTCGAAAAGTAAAGAAGCGTCTTGATCGAAACCCGCGTCGCAGTGGAAAAATTGCTCGTTAGCAGAATATATTGCCATTGAAATTCCAAAAAGTGCAAGAACTTACACCGCAACAGAAAGAGAATAGACTCAAAAGAGCTAAAGAGTTGCTTCGCTTGGACGAAAGAGGTGAACTGCCGAATTTGGTTTTCTCCGATGAGAAAACATTCGTTGTCCAGCAGTTTGTAAACAAACAAAATGATCGTGTTTACTTGCCAAAGAGGTCAGCTGAAATTGTGCACTTTCGTTTGGCCACCAGAACTCAAGCGCCGGCAATGGTGTGGGCCGTCATAACAGCCAATGGTCGCTCTCCGCTCGTATTAATCGACCGTGGCATCAGAATAAATGCCGAATATAATCGGCAAAATATTCTGGAGGGTGTATTAAAGCCTTGGGCAAGCAAACATTTTGGCCGCAGACCTTGGACATTTCAACAGGACTCAGCACCATCGCAGTCAGCACGCGCCACCCAAGAATGTTTACAAAATGAGGTTCCTCGCTTCATTTCCAGCGCACAATGGCCACCAAAATCTCTGGATACCAATCCGTTGGACTATTGTGGCTAGAGTATTTTGGAAAGCAAGGTTGGCACTAAAAAAAACATACCAAAGTGTCGATCACCTAAAGCAAGCGCTTCGCCGGGAATGGACCAAAATACAGCATAGCAACATTCGGGCGCCCTCTGACGGTTTCATTGGCCGTTTGAAGGTCATAATTCGTGTCGAACTAATCTAAACTTATACTAAAATTTAAAGCGATTTCCTACCTTTTTTGCTTCCATTCGATAAAATTAAAAAAAATAAATAAAAATTATGGGGTTTGACTTTGCTGCTGTTATTTTATCTCACCCTGTATATGGGAGCTATACGATGGCAGTTCGGAATGTTCATAGCCTAGCACAAAAAGCGCGGTATTAACAGAAAAAAGTTAAGTGTTTTGCAAACTTCCATCTCTGTTATGAACACAAGTTTCGATCTGGCAACTCTTTCATATAGAAGCAGGTGTTCAAAAAAGACGCATACGCATTTACAATTTACAATGGAAAAATTAGAAATGTGTGCTTTCATTGTAAAATTGCGGATGTGTCTTTTTTGAACACCTGTGGCGTAAGGGATGATAGATATCAAGCAACGGCTCTGATTGGCTTTAACATGGCTTATCTTGGTCCCTCTTTCATCTCAATTGCGGACACTGACCTCCCCAACGGTGCCACCTGGGGAGCTATTTTCATCACCCGATAAAATAGTGAGCTAATATGTGCTGCGAGTTCACCCATAAGAACTATAAAAAATGGGTTAAGGCGTCGCTCACTCTCGGAAAATCCAACCTACTATGAAAAATCAAAGAAAAAAACCAAACCCCCCCTAATGTTGACGACCCCCGCAAACGTATAAAGGACCACGATCTGCGACTCTGCACTTGGAATGTGCGCACGTTGTACAGAACAGGCGCAGTGCTCGCTTTGGCGAATGTACTCAAGAAGTACAAATCCGATATTATTGCCTTACAGGAAATGCGATGGAAAGGGACTGGCGTAAGTAAATCAGATGATTATGCCCTGTATTGAAACGAGACATGAATTTGGCTGCCATGAAACGAAACATGAATTTGGCTGCGGATTTATGGTTAACAGGAGAATAAAAGACCTTGTCTCCAGATTCACTCCAGTAGATGAGCGAATTGCTATAATCCTTATAAAAGCGAAGTTCTTCTACATCAGTCTCATTTGTGCCCATGCTCCCACCGAAGATAAAGATGAACAGACCAAAGACATATTTTATGAGCGCCTAGAAACAGCATATGACCGTTGGCCTGGCCATGACATTAAAATTCTGCTAGGAGATTTTAATGCAAAAATCGGAAGGGAAAATATCTTTGGCCCCACCGTCGGAAAATTTTGACTTCGCGGCAGCAAAAAACATGGTAGTTAGCAGCACCAGATTCAAGCATCTCGATATACGCAAGGCCACTTGGATTTCTCCCGATCGAACAACGAGAAATCAAATCGATCATGTTGTGATAGACGGAAGGCATTCATCCAGTGTTTTAGACGTCCGATCGACCCGGGAAGCGAATATCGATTCGGACTATTACCTTGTGGCAGCCAAGGTACGCACCCGTCTTAATGTAGCAGCAAAGGTGCGATCGAATGTAACACGGAAATTTGACGTCGAAAAGCTGCAAACACAACAGATATCAGAAGCCTACTCCGCTCAACTTACCCAACTGCTTGACGAAAGCACCCCTTGTCCAGATAATAATATAGAAGCACAATGGCAGAGAATTGCCCACTCCCTACAAACTGCAGCAAAAGCAACACTTGGGTACCAAAGACCACCATCAAGAAATCCGTGGTACGATCAGGAGTGTCGCAATGCTACGGATGTGAAAAACGCAGCATATAGGGCAACCCTGCAGACAGTAGCAACACGTAATACGATGGAGAACTATCGGGAGAAAAGTAGAGAGGAGAAACGTATTTTCAGAAAAAAGAAAAACGTGAGCGTGAGCAAATCGAGATGTACAGGAGTCAGAATGAAGTCCGAAAATTCTACCAACGGGTAAAACACCAAACCGAAGGCTTTGGTGCAGGCACATCCTCCTGTGGAGATAAAGAAGGAAACCTGGTGACAGATACAGACAGCGTGCTGAGGATCTGGAAGGAACATTTTGAGAAACTTCTGGTATCAAATAGTAGCAGTGAAGTGGATACCCCAGAACCAATAATAGATGACGGTATAGAGTGTATACCACCTAGCCAAGATGAAGTCAGAATAGCAATCAATCTGCTGAAGAATAACAAAGCAGCAGGTGCCGATGGATTACAAGCCGAACTATTCAAGACTGGTGGTCAGATGCTGGTAACGAGCATGTACCAGCTGATTAGTACAATTTGGCTAGAAGAATGCATGCCCAATGATTGGAGCCTCAGCATCCTGTGTCCTGTGCACAAAAAAGTAGACTAGACGATATGTGCCAACTATAGAGGAATAAGTCTCCTTCCCATCGCATATAAAGTGCTATCCAGCGTACTGTGTGAAAGACTGAAGCCAATGGTCAATGACATTATTGGACCATACCAATGTGGCTTCAGACCTGGCAAATCCACCATTGACCAAATTTTCACTCTGCGCCAAATCCTGGAAAAAAACCCACGAAAAACACATCAACACATTCCACCTATTCGTCGACTATAAAGCCGCATTCGACAGCCCTATCCGTTCAGAGGTGTATAAAGCCATGTCTGCGTTTGGCATTCCTGCAAAATTAATTCGGCTATGCAAGATAACTTTAAAAGGCACAAGATCAGCAGTTAAAGTCGGAAAGGACCTCACGGAATCCGAACGAGGATTCAGACAAGGTGATAGTTTGTCGTGTGACCTTTTTAACATCCTACTGGAAAAGGTCATATGAGAGGTAAAAGTGAACAGAAAAGGCACTCTGTGCACCAAACAACACATGTTACTCGCCTACGCCGATGACATCGATATAATGGTTTGAACATTTCGTGCGGTAACAGCCACCTTTAAACAAATTGAGAAGGAGTCTACCAAAGTGGGTCTGGTGGTAAACGGCGAGAAGACCAAGCTGATGGTATCAAGGCGCAAGACGTCCAGTAGACTCAGACCAACTGTGGAACTTGAGAACTACAGATTCGAGGTAGTCTAAGATTTTATATACCTTGGTACCGCCATAAACAAAACGAATGACATCAGTTTTGAAATTCGGAGAAGGATAGTGATTGCCAACCGATGCTACTATGGTCTGAGCAAACAACTGAAAAGCAAGGCCACCTCCCGCCAGACCAAACTCACACTCTATAAGACGCTGATACTACTCGTGCTGTTATACGGATCTGAAGCATGGGTACTTACGCAAGCGGATGAGGCAGCTCTTGGAGTGTTTGAGAGAAAAATTCTCCGAAAGATCTATGGGCCGATCTGTGTTGACGGTGAATATCGCCAGCTATTCTCGGACATCGACATTGTTAGACGTATATGAAGGAGTTGAACCTCTACGTATATTCACAATAATCGATTAAGAACATTACTTTCTAAATTATAAGATAACATTTGGAAAATACCGGTATATATGGACTTTAAGGAAGAGGTTGAACCTTTTCTTATTTATTTTCTGTAAGGATGATTGTTTAAAAATTTCGTTCTTCAAAATTTAATATAGTATTTTTTTTCTTACTCACATTCCATTTTCTCCAATTTCGCACAATTATCCATAGTATGACCATGCCTCTTACAATAACGACAAAGTTTCTTCATCTCTTTTTCGTCTTCCTGCAAATTATACTCCACAATACGGCCCTTTTCCATCAGTTCATCGAATGTCGTAAAATCATTACGATCAATCCATTTACGATATTTTAAATGTAGCAGACCATACACCATATCCAATTCGGTTATTTCATCATGTCTCCTACCCGCGGGCAATTGAGCTAATATGGCACGTTTCTTAACCAAAAATCTATCAATTAGAACATCATCGCCTTGTTTCTCTTCCATCAATTCCAAATAAATTTGATAGGCCGGGCGGGGTGGTGCAAAATGTTGACGTAATAATTCCAAAGCTGCAGGCCATGTGTGGACTAGATGACGTACTCCCTGCCACCATGTATTGGCATATTCATAGAATAGTAAGGGTAAAGATTTCAAACCGTCTTCATCGCTAATACCCTGCAGATCTTTATAGGTTTGTGTGGATAGAATAAATTCCTCGACAATTTCACGATCTCGTTCTCCACCATAACGATAGGGACAATCGGCAATTGAACCGTGGCTACTCGTTTTGTTGGGTTTGCTGGCAAGTTCCGCCACTGCATGGGAGATTTCAGTAGCTGTCGAGGTACGTAGGGATTTTATTAGATGCTCCAATTGCTCGCTGGTCATTTGTATTGTGTGCGACATTTTTGTTGTTATCGGGTTTTATCTATTGATTTCAAAAAAAAAGAAAATTTAAAAAATTTTTGTATTTGTATTGATTTATTGATAAAAATCGGAGATAGGAAATAAAGCCAAATAAATATTTACATTAAAGTTCTTTTGTTAAAACGACACTTCGAAATAAAATTTCTGTCTTTTATCTGTTCGAATCCGATCAACCGTTATCAATCGTTAGCGTGCACCTACAATGCATGCCTGGTTAAAAACTATTTCAGTCACGCAATTGTTTAAATTTTTTATATATATAAATCTCTTTGGTTGTCTCCACAATAAAAAAACAACAACCTAATTCTCTTTTATTGAACTTTTTGCAAAATTTTGTAATGAAAATTCTCTTATTAGCTGATATGTATGTTTGTATATCTTTCGAAATTTTTGTAATAATGAATGAGTAATAAATAAGTTATCATTATTAGAAATTCTTGGAAATGTAAGAGAACAATGGCCAGAGATTTCTGTGGTAACGTTTTTATACCCTTCAACACACTGTGGTAGGGTATATAGGGTGCATATGTTTGTAACAGGCAAAAGGAAAGGAGATAGACACATGGTTCCTTTTGATAATATGTATAGAATCACCGTCCATCTTTCCATGTTAGATTGTAAACGAATTACAGGTCGCATTTATGAACCGAATTGATGGAAATTTGGCACAGCTCGTCTATTTGGCCCAAGGACGAACCCTATTGATATTGGGAAAAAGCGGTTCAGGTTTAGATATAGCTCCCATATATATTTTCGTTCGAATTAAGGTAAATAGTGCACCAAAGCCCCTTAAAAGCTTTAGATTTGCACGAAATTTGGCACAACGTACTGAAGTAAGCCTAGAATGATGTGTGCTGAATTTCGTGAAAATCGGTTTAGATTTAGATATAGTTCCCATATATATTTTCATCCGATTTAATGTAAATGGTGCACCAAAGTCCCTATATATGTTTCGATTTGCACGAAATTTAGCATAGCGTACTGAGTTAAGTCTAGAACGATGTGTGTTAAATTTCGTGAAAATCGGTCCATATTTAGATATAGCTCCCCTATATATATTCTAAATCTGAACCGATTTTTCACAAATTTCAATGGGGTTCGTCCTTGTGCACCAAAGTCCCTGTATATCCTTCGATGTGCACGAAATTTGGCACAGCGTACTAAATTAAGTCTAAAAAGATGTATGTTAAATTTCGTGAAAATCGGTTCAGATTTAGATATAGCTCCCATATATATTTTCGTTCGATTTTAGGTAAATAGTGCACCAAAATCCCCATATATCCTTCGATTTGCACGAAATTTGGCATAGCATGCAGAATTAAGTCTAGAAAGATGTGTGTTAAATTTCGTGAAAATCGGTTCAGATTTAGATATAGCTGCCATATATAGTTTCTTCCGATTTCATGTAAATTGTGCACCAAAGTCCCTATATGTCTTTCGATTTGCACGAAATTTGGCATAACGTACTGAATTGAGGCTAGAGTGATGTCTGCCAAGTTTCGTGAAAATCGGTTTAGATTTAGATATAGCTCCCATATATATTTTCGTCCGATTTTATGTAAATGGTGCAACAAAGTCCCTATATATCTTTCGATTTGCACGAAATTTGGCATAGCGTACTGAATTAAGTCTAGAACAATGTGTGTTAAATTTCGTGAAAATCGCTTCAGATTTAGATATAGCCCCCATATATATGTTCATCCGATTTAAGGTAAATAGTGCAACAAAGTCCCTATATATCCTTCGATGTGCACGAAATTTGGCATAGCGTACTGAATTAAGTCTAGAAAGATTTGTGTTAAATTTCGTGAAAATCGGTTCAGATTTAGATATAGCTCCCATATATATTTTCATCCGATTTTAGGTAAATAACCTTCGCACGTTCAATTTCATGTTAATGGGCCTTCAAAAATGCGACGTCTGTTAGGATTTCATCTGTTGAATATACCCAAAGTGGCCCCGCCCGACTTTACTGCTTTTCTTACTGTTTTTTGTATTATTTTAAGGATTTATGAAATGTTGATTTTATTTCAGTACCGTAATATTTGTAATTAAGAATCTGAATGTGGATTATATCACATATCTTGAACATTTTCTGTAATGCGATTTCCTTGAAATTTTAAAGTACCCTCTATTCTGTTGGGAAAATGTGGTCTAATTTTTAATTTTTAATCCTCAAATTACTGCAATTTCCGGGGCAAAGTTATTTATGTAGGGCTACACCTAAAGGGTGATCAATATTGGTTACATAGTGTAGGAACTACTGACGTTTGGAGTTATCATTATATGAGGGACTATGCCTAATTGAGCACCGATATAGCTCAATTTCGAACCTAACATTTTCATTACCTTCCTTCATCGTAATTATTAAAGTCAGTCAGTTAACTACTTTAATATAAACCAGTAAGGAAAATAGTAAAGTCGTGCTGGGCCCACTATATGATACTCTTCAACACTTGGGGCATATTCTACATATGGAATTTGATTTGAACTTTGTCAATAAATGAACCGACTAACACCAATCCATACACATGCCTTTCTGCATCTTATGCTAAATTTTATTCCATTCGGACAGATTTACAATCGTTTGCGTACAATGGGATAAATTTGTGTAAATCAATTTATAGCATACATGATACACGTTCGAAATATATATGGAAGCTATGTCTGCATCTTCACCCATTTCACAAAACAAACGTATCAATCGATAAGAAGGTTGGGGCATCATTTACTTGAAATCGGACAAAAATATATATGTGGGAGCTATATCTAAATCTGAACCGATTTTCACGAAAATTAACACACATCATTCTAGATCTAATTCAGTACGCTGTGCCAAATTTCGTGCAAATAGAACCTTAAATCGGACGAAAATATATATGGGAGCTATATCTAAATCGGAACCGATATCAACCAAACTTCGCATATATCAATCTAGACCTAATTCAGTACTCTGTGCAAAATGTTGTCTTAATCGGACCAATATTGGGAGTTTGGTGCACCATTTATATAACTTATATCGGACAAAAATATATATGAGAGCTATATCTAAATCTGACCCGATGTTCACAAAACTTAGCACACATCATTCCAGGATTAATTCAGTATGCTATGCTAAAATTCGAGCAAGTCGAAAGATATATAGGGACTTTGTGGCACCATTTACAGTAAATCGGACGAAAATATATGGGAGCTATATATAAATCTATGCCGATTTTCCCAATTTCCATTGTATTTGTCTTTGGGCCAAATAGACGAGCTGCTCAAAATTTCATCCAATTCGGATCATAAGTGCGACCTGTACTTTGTTTACAATTTAACATGGACAGCCTGACGGACGCACGGACATGCATAAATCGATTCCGAAAGTGATTCTATGCATATTCTCAAAAGGTGCCATATGTCTATCTCGTTTCCTTTTACCTGTTACAAAAACATATGCACAAAGACATAATACCCTGTACCACAGTGTGGTGAAGGATATAGTGATCGATATGGACACAGTTTTTATGAATGTCCCCATATAACGGTATTCCCCATTATTCGGTATTTTGGAGAATATCGATCAAATTGACTATAATTTGGTACGAAAAGTTTTCATTTCGTAGACACATCTCTCTACCAAAATGTGTCTCGAATACCCTCCAATTTGGTTCTCGTTGATTGCCAAATCTTTCTACCAAAAATATATACACGTCATTTATGAAGGTCCCGAAAGATTTCTTCATGGTGGATGGTGGCATAAAAAGTCCACTCGACCAAATCTAACAATTTTTTCTTCTGTTACCGTAAGATATAAGAAATATTCTCCGAAATGTCCATAAACCATATATATTTTCGATCAAAATTTTGCATAGAGTCTTTTGTTTGCAGGCAGTCAAGTTCGAAGATGGGCTATATCGGTCCACGTTTAGACATAGCTCCCATATAGGGTACCCAATTTTCGGTACTTTGGAGTTATTGAGTGTGTTTTTCAACCGAATTCGCTGTAATTTGGTATTTTGTAGTCGTATATGGTAACAAACCTCCCGACCAAAAATTATTAATATTCGCCCCCTATTTGGGGTAGTCCCATATAACCCCCTTTTTATATTAAAATAATTATCTGTTTTTTCCGCATTTTAGGTTTATCCCCATATAGTCGCATTCCACCATAGTAGTGTATATATTCTGTACTCGAAATATGGAATTTGAAGACAACATTTAGCCATCTGTTTTAATCATTCCACATTCGGGGGATATCGAGGTAAAAAACTAAAACTGTCTGGTTCGAGAATGAAATATAATATATCGGCCCACAGTTAGGCCTATCCCCCATATTGTGATACCTACCTATTTTCGGTATTTTTAATATTTAGCGTGAAGGAAGGTATTGTGATGCCAGAATAGAGCTATATCAGTCCTCAATTATGCATAGAACCTCAAATAATGACAACTAAAACTGTACGGTAATTCCTACACGATGTAATAGCCTCCAGAAACCTACACATATAAATGTTTTTTTTCTGCAATGACAATTTTCATATTGAACCAGCAGCTTCATCCCCACCACCGAAATAAAATCATGTGTACGTTGGTGATGGGCTCATATCGACAAAATCGACAAATTGGTATGTTCCCCATATTTACATATATATATATATATGGGGATTTTAAACATAAGTGAATCAATCCTCAGAATATTTTCCAATGATATCATCGAAACTACTGGAGACCAAAAATACTAAATTGCAGCCATATACAGACGATTTTTTAAACAAATTTTGTGAACCGCAAATTCCATGAATAGGGATTTTTCTTAAGATCTCAAAACCCACGAACGTAAACCGATATTGATAACGTATGGTAAGGTGGAACATATGTACACAATTTAGAGGGCAAGGTTATATGTGAATATATGTACTCGTATCAGGAAAAAATTACACCGAACTACTCCTCACGCCCCATAAAGCATATACATAAAATTTGGTCAAAATCGG